AGTCAAGTGATTCTTTTGGGTCTGTGATCTGTACTTGATAATCTTTTGTTGGTTTCTAGTGGATTAGGGCGATAACCGCTATGGTGGATGCTCAACGGGTGATTAGCCACTCTGTGGTAAACATCCGGGCCTAAGGGTGAAAAATTGTTGTGTTTTGTTGTTCTTGCTATTTTTGGTTATCTTTGGGACTATTTAATTCCAACATATATAATTACAACTATCGGAATTGTCAAAAGCTTCCACATTTAGCTCTTTTGATTTTCCAGTGGAATCTTAATTGTATACATGTATTTGTTCTTCTTCTCAAAATGTTTGTTTCTTATGTTTTAGGTTTTGATTTTTAAAGAATTGTTTTGTTTTACCACTTTCTTTCTTTCTTTTCGTACTAGACAAAATTGGTCCTAAAATGATTTTTACAATTTCCTTTGTCATAGGCAATGTTAGTCACTAGCACTAAGATTTACCATTTCCTACTGCAGGAATAGTATCCAGAGTGATCACGAAAGTGATTTGCATCATCAACACAAGATAATATCTTCAGAATTCACAACAAAAATATGCTACATTGATTTGATTGCATGCTAGCTGGCTCGAATCTCAATGAAATGAAAGTGAATATTAATTTCACTAGAATCCTAATTCCTATCTAATGGTATGGACACGAAAAACACTCATAATAATTTTCCTTGTGAACTCTATTTAGTATTTTGCATATGAAAGAAGATTTAAAATATGTAACCAGCTATTTCTTGCTGCTCCTTTATTTACATTTTGAATTCACTCTTATATCTATATAAAACATAATTTCTTTTACACAAATATGTATGTGGAAATTTTGTAATACACATCTCCCATCAATTATTAACATTCAACATGCTAACATTATCTTCAAAATAACGTATCCCGTGCATTGCACAGGCATAGACTAGTAATGGGAGAAACGACTTGTTTGTATTTTTCATATTATGTAATTCAGTGTAAATTATGTTTGATGTTTGTTGAAAGTCGGCGTACATATATCATTTCGTCAATTGAAGTATTTATTTCGAAACGTTAGTCACAGTACATTTATTTATATTGTATTAAAGCACCCATTTTTCGCCAAAGTTTTAAAAAATGGATGTGAAATGGCCGCCTATGGTTTCAAAAAAGCACCTTTGTAGCAGAAAGAATGGAGCATATGTATATAGAAAAACAAACCTAGAGTCACCTAATCCTAACTTTCAGAAATCTGCACTACAAAGTACTATTGAAATCTACAGTAGAAAGCTCATGGTTATGCTTCATACAACACATAAAAACACTTGAAGAAATTTGCGCTAGATAGGATGCCACAAAAAATACTAATTCTTCTAGTAATCAGCATTCCTATGCATTGCACTGTGAAGTACTATCGCTGCCTTCACACCGAACAAATTAGCTACTGTCGTCTTTGCAATTCTTCTTGTTCGTGCCTTTGTTGCTCTCAGCTTCGACGTTTCTTCCACGTTAGGCAAATTAGATGTAACGGAATGCCCACGTTCATCTTGATCACCAATGGGCATCATCACTGCTGGACTGGGTGTAACATGGTCCGCTCCTACTTTGCGTACAACCATGGGTGTAGGCATGAAATGGAAAGAAGTCTTTTGTGCAAGGTTTATTGCTGAAGATGTACCCTTTCATCTGGCAGCAACCATTTTACCCTCACATAGTAATCACATTGCATTGAAAAATAGACATAAACCAATAATTTATGCAAAGAGACTAGTGACACCAATAATTCAACTTTAAAACAGGATTATCAAATCATGCTAATGTACATTTTAAATTCAGCTCCCAAAACTACAACAGAAAACTATAAGAAAATCTTATTCAAAACCTCATTTCACGTTCCTCTTCCTGAGGCTGTAATTGTGAAGTTCAAATTAAGACAACCCCAACAGCTAACATTCAAAACTCCTTCAAGATCAAGAGGTCCCTCCATGTGCACGCCTTCCTCGGTTCAACGTGGGACCTTCCACAGTAGGTAGTATCAATTGGGGGTTTAGGGTTTGGAACAAGCTTGGGCATGCAAGATTTGGGTTTTGGATCAATTTGTCTGAGTTAATGGACTTCTGATGGAGGAAGAAGACAAGTTTGGGAAAGAACTACTAGATTTTGAGTTTTAGCCCTGTTTGGCCCTCATTAAATTAAATTACATTACATTTTTTTCTCTTTATTACTACCACACATTCATCAAATAAAATAATATTACACACTAATTTAAAACTTTTCATTACTTTTTCACCACACATTCTCTCATCAATCACTATTCCAAAAATTTTCAACCCTAAAAAATGCCAAAGAATGGAGGCCAAACAAGGGCTTAATTTGTCTCTAAAGTGAAAGGCGTGATGGGCTCTCGCTAACTTGGCATTGACATGACACATGAATTGACATTTAATGTGCCACATCACATTTTTGCGATCCACGTATGTAAGTCTAGTAACGGATTCCATCAGGTGGTCAATAGAGTTGAACAAAGCAAAATTCAATAATCAATGAGACAATTGATTAAGTTTAATAGGTAAATTGAGACATGGTGCAAATTTCAATGGCCAATGAAGCATTTAACTCGCGGTAGAGCAATAAAATTCGAAATTAAACTAAAATTTAGTGAAAGTTCAACCTTTTTATTATCTATTGATTATTGATAGATTTTACTCATTTGTATTTTGTTATTTTCGAGAGAAATTAATTAGGGTTACTTTGCCAAAGCTTAATTAAGTAGGGGCCAAATTGGAATTTCATCATCTTTAGACCATCTTGTCTAGCCTTCCACATACCTCATCATCTTCCCTTTGGCTTCAGCTAACCTGCCTCCCCCCCCCCCACCCCACTCCCCCACCCCGTTCGTAGTCATGGCGTCGAGCCTGCCGTGGCACCCTTTAATACCCTCAAAAACTCAACGCTTCCATCACTATCGCAAAACCCTTAAACCTAATTTCGTTCCTATTCGCCACGCGGATTGTATTACGGCCTTCAGGCGCAGCGACTTTGATGGATTCACCAAGCGTGTGACCTCCGGCGAGGCCTGGAGAGACGTGTGGAGGAGTGCTAATGATGGGTTTGAGCAGCTCGTGTACGAGAGCAAGAAGACAGCTGAGCGTATTAACAGGAGGTATGCTGTCTCGGATAGATTCTCGGAGGTGACAAATTCTGCAGCAGGCCGTGCCCGTGAACTCGACCGCGAGTTCGGAATTACGCAGCGGTGGCGGACTTTCTCTCTTGATTTTAGTAGAAATTGGCCGAGGGTCTGTTGATGCTAGCAGCCATATTCTAAATTTCATTACAATCTTAAAAAGATGATGTTTCTGTAATTGAGTAAATTTTTGGCGTAACACGATAACTTGCACGAAATTGATGTTCATTTTGAAGTTGGGATTTTAGTTAGTAATATAGTTCTGTTACTTGTTGTCTTTGCAGTACAGGAGGCAGTTCAGTGATTTTCTTGATTCGCCATTGGGAAGAAGTTTTTCTGTAAGTATAATTCACATTTTCGTTAGCCCTGTCTTGTTAGACATATGACTTGTGTGTTTATGATTACTGTCTAGTTTCGTAGGTTTATTCTTATATATATATCTTGATATAAGTTAGTAAATCTGGAAGCTAAATATAGTGTGATCTTTCTTTTATAAAGACAATTATAGGTTAGAAACGGCCACCATATTGTGTTTTGTGAAAGCAAGGAATTGGGTTTGGAAATGACAACTTTCTTAGTGTATGAGGACCTGTTTCCTGATAGTTGATAAAATATATTGTTAAGTACGAAACATTGGTATTACTTCTGATTTGCATGAAGCGCTGATAGCACTTTCTAATTAGTCAGTTTCTGACAGACTGAACCATAATTATATTCTAAGGCATGTCCAACCCTGCACCAAAATTTGTGGTAAATTTTGCCCCATTTTACACCAAATCTTGCACAAAACTAAAAATCATCTCCAACCATTATACCAAAACTTACACCAAATGAACAGTGTTTAATTATTTTCTTCATTTTTTTATTCTTAACAATTTATTTATTTGAAAAATTATTTCTTTTTTTCAATTTTACAACTACATAAATTACTAAATAAATAATTATGTTAAATTAACGAAAATATTAAATTTATTAATAAATATAAAAAATATAGTACAATTAATAGGAACACTAAAAAAGGAAGAAAATATTAAATCATGCTTAAAAAATAGTTCACTGCATTTCGAATTTCGATATTATGATATTACGAAGTTGAAATAGTGTTGCAATTTAATTCTTGAAATTAGTATGTTCTTCCCACAAATGATCGATTAATGCATTTCGAAGTGCATTGTGAGCCTCTTTATCCTTGATTTGTCTATGACGGGCAAGGAATTCTTGAAAACGATGGTATTTGTCTTCAACCAACTCAACTTTCGGAGTTGGCGCTTCCATCCAATCTCGAACTGGTGCGTTAAAAAAGGAAATTGAATGGCAGAATATCATGAGGAGAATAAAATTTTATTGAAAGATTTGAGTTCGATAATAGATCCAAACCTACGTCTGTTCTTTCAAAATGAACAAGCAAAATTTTTGCGCAAGAGTGCTCATCAACAAAATAAACGATCTAACAGTTCATCTAGTTTGTTTGGTAATTATTTTGACGATATTGGAAGATCTGGAAGTGAT